CTTGGAGGAACATAATTTTGGGAAACTATAGCAAGGTCTGGAAAAGACATGAAGAAGAATCACAAGTGTGTTCTCAGGTGGTTTTTTCTTTCCTTGTTTTGGAATAGGTATATATTTGTGCTCAGTGTTTATGCCTCTATTAGTTATAGAAGGGTTGGGGTTTTAAGGAAATTATATCAAAGATTTCCTAGGAACTGGTGGCTGAAAAGATTGGTTAGTATTGAATAAGAGTTTTCTAATACCAACTTTGCTGTTAGAGCCCAATATTGATTGTGTAGCTTGTGGCAGAGCTGTCCACAGGGCACATTGTAAAATGATATCCTCTCACTTAGTTTCTTTCACTTGAGGCATATTGGAGAACAGCTGCTGAAACAAGTGTCAGTGATCTATAGACTTCTGAATGTGCAGTTGATTTCCTGCTACACACACATTTATTTCACGTTACCACTTCTACGTGCCAGGTTTGGGGGTGCTCTCCTGAAAATGCTAGACTTTCTTTCAAGTTATGCACACTGCTCTGATTTGCTTTGCATCTCCATGAATAAAACTGGTTTATGGCTTTGACAACAGGAAAGCAGAGCCCTCAATAAAAAATTCCTGAGTTCCTTTCTTCCTCTTGTGGGTCAATACAGCACTTGGCTGGCTGCCTCTTTGCAGCCAAGCAATCAATCCCCTTCAGAAAAGACCTAGACCAATTTCACACTTGCTGTGTACTTCATAATTGGCCCAGTTCATTCCAGTGTCAAAATTATTTATTTTGTCATGATGATAATCTCTTTCCAGTAGTCCTAAAGTGTCACCTTGTGGCTTGTGCTGGTTATAATTTTATATCTTCAAGAGAAAACATCCCTAAGCATCAAATACAGAAAATCTGTAAGTTCCTCTCCAGGTATTTGTAAAATTAATGTGGACAGTCAAGATTATTTTGTTTTAACTGAGATTGCATTATTGGGGTTTACTTTTGAAATAACTGGTGATAGGTAAGAGCAAAAAATTACTAAGCAGTTCATAATCTATTTAGAAGCTACTGGTTGATTTTTCTGTGGTTCAAAGACAAGATGAGTTTTTATGCAAATTAGACCAGATTTTTACTGGCCACTAATCAAGTGTTTACCTGTTTCCATTAAAACTACATTGAGTTTAATCAGCATGCCTTTTAATGCATGCATTTGTCCCCAAACAAGGAGCATATTTGTCATGAATATTTAAATTGGATTTTAAGTCCATGAAATTTTAATATAAATAAAAAGTGAGGTGGTTTTCTCAGGGTTGAAAGTCAGCATCCTCAGATCCTATTCAAAATTGTAAACAAATTTTCAAATTAATGGTCTCCAAAGACATCTTCTTAGCATTGGGGATTAAATGTCTTTAACTGCAAAAAGATTAAATGTAACTGCATTTAATGGAATGCTATCTGTACATGAATATAAAGATTTTGTTTCTTGTAACTAAAGAGAACTATTACTGAATAATTCAGAAATTATTCTGAGTATTTTAAATATAAAACATATAGATATGTGTTATAGATAAAGATATATTATAAAACATAAAGCATATAGATATAACTGCACCTTATTCAAATCTCTGTGGAAAAGGGCCTGTGGATGTTGATTTCTATGAATATATATTGTATGTACACAAACAGAAGTGAAGCATTTAATATAAATGTAAAGTAAATGTAAAGAGAAACCAGAATACAAGGAAGCAGGGAATTGACAAGTGATGAACAAGTAAATAATTTTATGTTCTCTAGCAATTTGGAGCGCAAACTCCCAATTTGTCCTGTCTTTTTACAGGAAATGAGACAGACCACCAACAGCTGAGCTTCCTGTGAGGAGCTGATGCTTGATGATGTTTGAAGTCAAGCCCTAATAAAACCCTGGTTCTGTTGGAGTTGATTCGACACTCATCATGGACTGGAAAAAAGGCAGACACCCCTTTTATTCCAAAAACAGAGGGTTTTTTGACCTTCACTGGAGGTTTTTGACCACCACTGGAGGTGCAGCATTGCTCATGATGCTCTTTGAACAAGCCCATGTGAGACAGGCTGTCAGCAGGCTGGGTGTCACTGCCCGTCACTGTCACAGGGCTTTGGCAGGGCTCTGCTCACTGAGCCACCCCAGTGGTGCTGGATATAAATGATGTAAATGTTCATGAGTGGATGCACTGTGCTGTGATACTGGCTGTCTCTCAGGCTCACAGAGTGCAGAGAATGTTATTCCGTGCTGGAGGAGCTGGGTCTCAGCAGTTTGAGGGGATTTCTGCTGTACACAATGAATCCTACCAGACAAGATGAACTGCAGAGACGTTTCCTGAGGAGAAAGGAGCAAACATGGGTAGGGATAAATGTTGACAGGGGTTGTTCACACTACATGCAAGTGAAAGCCATGGAAATTGAAGGCAGAAATCCCCGAGGCTTTATTGTAACCAGGGATTCTGTCTTGATTCCTAAGCTGGACACTTGCTACTTCCAAGTACTAAGAGCTGCTCCCCCCTGCCTTGCCTTTCAGCAGTTTTGGTTTGGTAAACAGCCTTGACATTGTTTGTTAAACTGACTTCAAGTGTTTTTTGATCAAGACTTGGCTTAACAAGGTGTAGAATGTAGCCCCCTTTCTGTTGAAATGTAAGCTTTATAAGATATGTAATAATTGCCTTAATTCAATAATTATATCACCTCACATTTTGATAAGTAATTTCTCTCAAAAAGAATTTTACCTATGAGTCATCGTTGGCCAAAACTGAACAGATTTCTTCCGCTGGAAATAATGATGGTGTAAGAATCAGACAGGAATGGCAATGGACAGGTAGGAATGTTCTTGTATTCCTACTCTTGAATACAATCACTGGATTCCAGCTTTTGACTCGTGTCTCCCACAAAAAGAAACAATAAACATAGGTTCATTACTTTTTACTTTAACAAGTAGTTCCCTAAATACTTAGCATATATTTAAGAAACAGAATCTCAGGGTTTGTTTCTCAATTTTTATTTTTGCTTTTTAAAACAAAGCAGAAAATACTGTGGAAAATAACCCTCGTGTGTCAGAGAACCCTAGCAAGTTAGAAGGCAGAAAATAGATTCAAAACTATTTTTAATCTTAAGAAAAGGAGCATTAAATTGGTTTTGTGAACGTTCCTTCCCCATCCCAGTGATGGTAGTTTGGCTTTTCCCGGTTACTCCCTCGCTGGAGTTGTGAGGTGAGTTTGAGGTGCCTAATGCGGGCACAACTTGCCATCTCGTGGCATGTTTGTGCACTACCGCGGTTAAAATACTTAAAATCGATTAAGGATTTTTACATCCAAGAACGTGTAGATCAGTGAGCGTAGGCCCCCATAAAGCATCTAACCTCTCATGAGATAGCCAAAAACCTAAGGGGGGCAGGTACCCACTGTCGATTTACCAATCACGGCCTCTTTAATTGGCCTCCAGTGATGCACGGACGAGCCTGGCGGGTCCCCCCAGCTCAGCGGCCCCGCGTGGCCTGCGCGGGCCCGGGGCTCGGCCGGTGGGGAACGGACACACGGACACAGGGACCAACGGACACACGGACCAACGGACACACGGACCAACGGGCACACGGACCAACGGACACAGGGACCAACGGGCACACGGACCAACGGACACTCGGACCAACGGACATTCGGACTAACGGACACACGGACCAACGGACACACGGACACAGGGACCAACGGACACAGGGACCAACGGGCACACGGACCAACGGACATTCGGACTAACGGACACACGGACCAACGGACACACGGTCTCGGCGCTCCGGCGGCCCCGCGGAGGCGGCAGGGGCGGCTCTCCCGTCCCTCTCCCGCTGTTTCTCTGCCCTTCCTCCTCCCGTCCCTCTGCCAGGGTCCCCGTCCCTCCCGCCGCTCCCTCCCGGCCCCGGTGCCGCCTCCGCCCGCTCTGGCTGCGGCGCTGCCGAGTGAGCACCCGTGGAGCCCGGAGCTCTGATGTCGTCCGGGGCTGTCCCACGTCTGTCTCCGCCTGCCCCGCCGTGGCTCCAGGGGGCACACTCGCTCTGCGGGCCCTGGAGCTGGGCCGGACGCTGACGGACGCGTCTGGCCCGCGGGGAAGGTGAAGGAGGCCCTGCAGGAGCAGTACGGGTGGGTTCCCTACTGGGGAGCGGCGGCTGCGGCAGCACCTGCTCCGGGATCCCCGGTGAGAGCAGGGACGGAGGGAGGAGGAGGGCAGAGGAGGACGGGACGGGCAGCGAGCTCACACCGATGCCTCTCTTGGCTCGCAGGTGCCACCAGATGTGTGTCCCGGGATCGCATCTCCTGCCCACAGCCTGCAGCACCCACGCAGTGACGGGATGGGCCCGGGCTGCTGGGAGCCAGCACGACAGAAACACCCGTGGGGCCAGGAAAGCCTGGACGGCACAGAACCGCACAAAGGACACTTTGGATTGCAGGGACGAGCGGCCTGAGCTCCTCCCCTGCCCTGTTTTGACTCGCCCTGGACTCAAGGTTTTGGCCCAAGTGGGAGGGGATAAAGGCATGGGTTGTCTCGGCCGCTGGCTGCGCTTTTCCCTTGCATGGAACAGTTGGGACTGCCCCAAACCCCTTGTGCCCTCCTCCAGCACCAGGGGCATTTTTCACCACCCAGAGATTGTAAACAAGAAATGGATGCACTCGAGAAGGCATCAAGGGCCTCCTTCCAGCCTGGCTCTGCAGATGCTGAGGCTGCTCCAGGCTCTGCCAGGGCTCAGCTCGGGGCATGGCTGAGCCCACTCTCCCCTCACATTGCTCAGGTCAGCTGAATCGCAGGGTGATAAGGAAGGGACACTTCAAGGGAGTTAAGGTTTAACAGAGTTTTTATTCAAAAAACACGAGGGTAAAATTTACAACCTGCATATACAACAAAAGAAAGTACAATTTACCAAAGTTGCCACCAACAACTTTGCTTTGACCAGCAAGGAGTGCAGTGCAGACAAACCCCAAAGGGTCCAAGGCAAAGTTGAGAACAGCAAACAAAATCAAAAGAGAGAGTACAACAACAATATGAAAGAGTACTCGAAGAGAAAGAGCAGAAGTGCAAGGATACTTACAGGCAGTTCATTTAAGAGGCTGTCTCTTCTGCACGGCATAAAAACAACACAGAAACAAGGCTCTGAGCATGAAGCCATTCCTGTTCTCACCATCTCTTTTGAAGGACCATCATGTCCAAGCCATGGGCAGCACAAACAGGAGCCCTCACCTCACAGCTGACAGCTGCCATCCCTCCTTCAGCCAGACATGTCTGTCTAACAACATCCTGTGAAGTTCCTCCATCCATGGACTCCATCACCAACCAGAGATCATCATCAACAGGTAGCTGAAAGAAGAAGACAATGGCATGGAGAAGAATGTGCACAGCTAAATTACCTTATGGAAAAGACTGCAGGGGAGTTTTGCTTCCAGGTCACTTGTAAATGAACACAGAGTAAAATGGAGAGACATTCCTGTAGCTGCACTGTCCTTGAAATCTGCACAGTCTAAAGGAGAAGGAGATGTGAAAAAGGAGATGCCTTTCATGGGAAGCACGTGAAAAACATGCTTAGGAAGACCCAAGATCAGTCTGGAACCCACAACACTTGGTGAACCAGCTGGTTCACCACCTTAACTCAGCAATTCCATCAGTAACTCCACAACTCTGAGTTATCCATGGGAGGAGGCCATGCACCACTTAGCACAAAAGTGGTCAACTGTCTGGAAAACCTTGCTTAAAGAACCTTCAGAAACAGGCAAGGCAGTTGAAAAATGGGCAAAATAGGTGTTTCTTGAAACAAGAATCTCATCTTCCTAGCATCCACAACAAGGGAAAAGAGTAGGGGAGAAGGTAGGCTGAGGCCAGGGCTGATGAGGGAGCAAGGGAGCAGTGGCAGGCCCCAGCAGCAGCAGCCCAGCCATGATGCAGTTAGGTTTTATAGTTTTTATACACTCCAACCCCTCCCAACGTCTGCCCATGGACAGGAGACCATTGGTCTGGTCCAGACTTTCTTGGCCACCCATTGTGGAGACCATCACCATGCATTTAGCTGATGCATTAACATTTTTAGAGACTAGGACCACGCCAGCATGTCCTGCTCTGAAAGATATCACTACCAAGAAGTCACTGACTTGAACTTACCCTTGGCCAGCTGGCTCAGCTTTAGTGTGTTTCTTGGCAGGCTCCCCCAGGCTCACAGTGTTCCCTGAAAAAAAACAACAGGAAAGGTGGTCACTCCAAGATGGAGACCCCACCTTGCAGGAGAGCCAAAATGCAGCTCCATGCTCTGGGTGGGCAGGAGCAATAAGGACTGTGTGACATTCAGCTGCAGAGGAACACTGAGCACAGCTGATGCTCAGACACACACACACCTCACACCCTGCTCTGGCAGACAGGACAGAGAGCAGATGTGCTCAGCTGCATGAGGCACCTCTCTCTCCTCTCCCCTGTGGCTGTGAGGCTGTGCTGCTGTCAGAATGCATGACAGCCCATGATACCTCAACAGAGAGAGGGTCACTGTCCTCTTCACAGACTAAGGGAGGTTCACTGTCCTCTTCCCAAAAAGATGGTGCTTCACCATCCTCTTTCCAAACAGTGGGATGTTCATGGTGCTCTTCCCACACAGGGAGGTATTGTCCTTCCCCTTCCCCCGTGGTGTGATGTTCACTGTGCTCTTCCCAGGCCACTGGATGTTTCCCATCCCAGTCCCACACCGCTGGCCGTCTGCCCTCTTCTTCCCACACTGTGAGATCTCTGCTCTCCTCCTTCCTGTGCCACAGGATGTTCCCACTCCTCATCCTACAGTGCGAAACATTCCCTGTCCTCAATCCACACTGCTGGAGCTTTGCTGGCATCTTCCAGAATGGTGGGAAATTCACCAGCATCTTCGAGAACCGTGGAAAGTTCACCATCATCTCCGAGAACAGAGGGAAGTTCACTTTGTTCCTCCTCTCCAGCCTTCTTGTCTTTCTGCTCTTTAGCCTTCTCTTTGGAGACAGACAGAGCTAGAGGAGCCCCTGATGCAGCTTCTGTGCTTTGTGGACAAACAGTAGCATGAAGGAGAGGAAGTTGTATCACATTTATGGCCTTATTTATCCTCAGCTGCACTAAGGAGAAATAGCATTCTGGGGTGTTCAAACTAACAGTGGGCTAAAGTAGACATTGCCACTTATGCTTGTGAATTAGATACTCCACCATGGCTAAAAGCAGCACGCAATCTTCTGTCTGCAAAATCGTTCCTGTAGCTGTTCAAAAGCTCTTCAACAAAAGAGGAGAAAACAGCCGGGGATCCTTTAGCTTCTGCTGCTGCAAAGGCACTGACAGTGCCAACTTTACCAGGCTAGCGCTCGGCTGCAACACACCTAAGGTTTCTTTCCACTCACCAAAGAAGGAGCTTTTCGGTAGCCATGCCTGAGATGCCCTGCAATGCAAGAGGGAAAATCAACCAGATACTATCAGGAAAATAAACTGTAGGTGCAGGAAAATCCACGCAACAAGGCAGCCCCGAGAGAGCGTTCTGCTTTCACAATATTCCTCCAGTCCTTTCATTGAAACCCAGGTGCCTGCACGGAGAGCCGCCAAACGCGGAGCCTCCCCGCTGTCCCCCAATGCCCGCACCCAGCGGGATCTCCGCTCCTCACCCACAGCGGCCGCTCCCGTGTCACCCCTCGGCTGCGCCCCCAGCCCTGCCCGGCCACCGCGGGGACCCCCCCGCTGCATCCCCGCTCCCGGGCCCCGCACCCGCCACCGCCCGGCCCCGGCGGCCGCCACAGCGGCTCCGCGCCCCCCGCCCTCCGCGCCGGCCGCGCTGGACGCCCGCAGCCCCGGCCCGGCCATGCCGGGGCCCCCCTCACCTGCTTGCGTGGTGTCGCTCAGGTCGCAGCCGCTGCCGGGGAAGTCGCGCAGCTTCCTCCCGCTCAGGCACAGGATGCCCGAGCTGCCCGCCTCCTCCAGGGCCCGCTCCAGGCTGCGCACCGTGTGCGACTGCGGCAGAGCTGCCGCGCCCCAGTGCGGCCCCGACGAGAAGGAGAGAGTCAGGTGCGCGGGGATGCCGAGCCCCGCCACTCCGCTCCCGGCCGCCGTCCCGCTGCCGCTGCCGTTGTTGCCGCTGCCGTTGTTGCCGCTGCCGTTGTTGCCGCTGCCGTTGTTGCCGCTGCCGTTGTTGCCGCTGCCGTTGTTGCCGCCGCCGCCCCCCTGCCCGGCCGCCATCTTGACCGGGGCCCAAAACAACAACGGCCGCGGCCGCTGCGCAGGCGTCGCGGGGCCCGCAGGGGGCGCCGCGGGACGGGGCGGGGCCTCGCGGCGCTCCTCGGCCTCGCCAGCCAATCCGCGGCGGGCGGCGGCGGCGAGGGGCGGGGCTTCGTGAGGGGGCGGGCGGGCGGCTGTGTGCCCGAGGGCTCGTGTGCCGCTAGGGGGCGCTGCCGGGGCTGAGGGAGCGGATCGGGATCGGGATCGGGATCGGAGCAGCACTGGGATCCTCCTGGCAACGGAGGCATCCCGGGAGCGGGGCGAGCCCGGGACCCTGGTGCTGTATATTTATTTCTTTTCCAAAAATGGCTCTGGAGCTGTGATTAGGAAATGCTAAATAAAGCCTCATAGACCCATTATTTTAAGGCAATCGTCATCTGTTTGATGAGCAGAATCTGCTTTTAAGCCTTGAACCTCAAAAAGATCCTTGAATTCTTGAATTGGTTTGGGTTGGTTTTTGTTTATTTTTGCATGCATATGTCATGCCTAATTGGGGGATCTAAGGGAAATTCCCTCTCCAGGGGCTATGGAAGAGACTGGCCTTCAGCCAGCAGCGTCACTGACAGACAGCTGAGCCATTATTGATCACTGAGGCCCAGAGCTGAAATCCGATGTGGCTGATGATGTCTGGGTGACACTCAGCAGAACCACTGAGGCAGGATCAGTGAGCAGGTCCTGAGCAGTGCAGGGTTCAGTGCAGAGCTCTGTGGGTGTGGGGATCTCCCTGTCCTGGCACACAGATTGCCCTTCCAGCCAAGAGCTCTGTGTGCAAAATGCAGCTGTGGGGGAAGAGGTCCCATTGTCACCTGCAAACAGTGTGGCTGTCTGCCTCCTCTGCCCTCAGCTCTGCCTACTCACCGGGGCTGTGGCATTTCAGATGGATACCTGCCCATCAGTCTGGCTGGGCCACAGCTTCTGCTCCTGCCCTGAAAAAAAAACAATTATTCCCTGGATTCCCAACAAGAAAATCAGGCCAACCTGTATAAACACTGCTGAGTGCTGCCCTTGGTTGAGGTTCCAGCCAGAGGGGGTGGAGGGTGAATAAACCCAGACTGGTGTTGGGCCAAGTGTGTAGGATGATTTTGTCAGCAGACATGGAGCAGGAGGCACAGTGGCTCTGCAGCTGGTGAGAGTGAAATAGTGTAGAGGCCCTTTAGAATTACAGATAAATAGAAAGCAAAAAGCAATACTTGAAGAATCCTTCACCAGGTGCTGTGAAATGCAATGATACAAGTGGCTAAAGACACAGGTCAATGGCACTGTGGTTTCAGTGCATTGACCAAGCAGGGCCACACGCCTGTGCTGGTGTCCTCCCTGCCCTGGGATACACTGTGGGGACTCTCTTGTAACCCTGAGCAGTTGCTTCTTCATTTTTACACTTCTCAGACACCGCAGGAGATGTTAGTCTGGAGGTGGTGTTGCCTGGCTGACAGAGAGCAGAGGTTTCCCAGGTCACAGAGCTGCCCTGGTCACAGAGCTGCCCTGGCCTGTGTGCAGCCACCCTGGCTGGGAGCTGCTGCCACCCCCAGGTGGGGAACTGCTGGGCCACCTGTCAGCACAGGAACTGAAATGTCAGATGAGCACAGGCCCCGTGTGCCCCAGCGAGGACTCAGGAGGCAGCTGAACTGTGTCACACAAACACCCCCTGTGCAGCAGCTCACCCTGTGCACAACAGCAGGGATAATTCTGTTAGAGACCATCATTCTGTGTGTTTAGAGACCATCCCACTGTGGCAGAATGGGGTATTTTATGCCTGTTGGGCTGAGCTCACACTGTGCCCTCTCCCAGTATGTTTTTTGTGTGATGCTTATGCATTTTGGCTGCTTGTGAATTCAGTGCAAAGCCTGTTTTATCTCCTGCTACATAAAAAGTCACGCAGCACTGCAAGGGAATCAAGCTAGGATAAAAAGCAGGTTTTATCACCTAAGCCCTGAATATAAATTTCAAGAGTGGTTAAAAGATTATAAGGTACAGATTGCCATAAAGCATTTCTTTGGAGAACAGAATCAGGGTGCGATCTGAACAGCAGAACAATGTTTCCCACTCAGCTTTCAGTTCTTTCAGGACTGAATGGCTCCATCCCTTTCCAACCTGACTGAAGAAGTGCTCAGGTTTTCCTAGTGAATCTGCCATCTTCTGTCCATAGTTATGGTCAGGAGGCAACTGAAATCAGGGCTACTGCCATTTGTGACTGTTTCTTGTTCAACTTTTGAACTTCCATGACATACAGATTATTTGCAGGAAGGGGTGATGTGTCCTCCAGAGTTCATTAACCTGAGTGTTGGGGTACATTTGTTTAATTTTGAACATACAATTTTGAGTAGCCAGGACTGCTCTGATAATTTTGCCAATAATATTCAAGGCATAAGAGATCACAGCAAAGATTTTACAAAATACCTATCGAAAACCTCACACTGCTTTGGAGGCAGATTTTAAAGCAGTGAACTGCCTGCATGTGGGCACCAATGGGGGCCAGTTTCCCCCAAAGCACCAGCTCAGGCAGGGTCACACAGAAGATGAACTTGCACCAAAGAGCTATTGAAGGAAAGGAAATAACCAGAGGTGACATTTGACAAGTTAAGAGTTTTATTCAGTGCACTGGACTCATACATCACTGCTTCATCAACAACATTTCACACAATCCTATAAAACCAATGCCAAGTCCAGTCTCTTAAAGATGCTTGGTGTAAAACATAAAGCAGTCTATCAAATATTTCCTGTTATAAGTATAGCTCAGAGCCCAGTAACAGGCTGTGTCCAGCATGCTCAGTGCTGGGTTCCACAGTGGATGGAGGATGGAGCAGTTACTCAGGGTTGATGCAGGGCTTCATTACAAATGTCTAAACCCAGCTCATTTACCTCTCACCCAATGTTTATCAGAGTGCTGCTGCTGGTTTGATTATGCTGCTGCTTTGAGTATGGGTGGAGCTGCAACTACAAAAACCCTAATGCAGAACTACTCAGCACTGGAAAGAAAATGTGATCTGGGCTGGGGCAGCCTGTCTGGCTCCGTGCTGAGGACAGTGACTCCAGCAGCACGGCAGGGCACGTCTCACCCCATCCCTGCAGCAGCAGTCAGGGCAGCACAGCAATCCACAGAGAAATGCAAGCCGCTCAGGCCTGACTGGCAGGGCAAAGCAACAGGTTTTCAGGGTGGAGGGGTCTTACACTGCAAACCTCTGGGCAGGGATGCCTAAAAACACAACTTGGGCAGCTGGGTGGATGCTGGTGACTGTGGGCAGCTGCAGCATCCCCACTTTGCTCTGTCTCCCATGTGGGCAGCACATGATGCTCAAAGCCTCCCACACTCAGACAGTGTAGGAAGGCTCCGTGGTACACCCTCCCACTATCAGCCATCACCCTGGTCAGCACAGGGTGCCCTGGCAGGGGGACAGGGCTGGTGCCAGCCCCACAGCTTCCCAGCAAATCCATCTCTGCTCATCCCCCTCCCTGCCCGTGTCCCACCTGCCCTGTGCTCTGGCCCAAACGCTCATCCTGCCTGATCCCTGCCCTCACTCACTCATTCACTCTGTGTGGAAGGAAGGAGACAGCACATTGCCAAATCAGCCATCTCAAAGGGAATCTAAGGACTTTTATTGAGGCCGTGTCAGGGAGCCTGGAGTGTCCCAGGCAGTCCCTGTGCCGAGCACGTGTCCTAAGGCATGGTGACCGTCCGCCGGGCGCTCCTGGCCGCTGTAAAGCGCCTCTTATTCCTCAGACCAGAGAACCTCTCATCCAGAGTCAGGCTGGTCTGCAGGGGAAAGCGAGAGCGAGTCAGTCCCCTGTCCTGTGGCAAAGCACAGCCAAACTCGTAGCAGGGGTATTGATTAGAGCCCATCAGTCAGGCTGGTGATTCACAGCTGGTTAGTCAATTAAACCACTCAGCACACAGACACAGGGAGCTCGACAGACTGTGTGTGGCTGGAAAACCTCCAAGCAGCTCCCAGCCCCAGGACACAGGGCATCCTCGGCAAGAACAGGAGCAAGCAGATGGCATTTGAGCACAAGGCACCAGGTAAAACCAAACCGTCCACACAAGAAACGCCGGCAATGAAGAAGGCGGAGCAGGATTTCTCAGCTGCCCCAGGGCTCCTGGACCATACTTCAGTGTAAAATGTGACACCAAGAAGGGCACCAAAGCAAAGAGCGAGCAAAGCCCAGAAGTGCCACGTGTCTCTGAGGAATGGGAAGCACTGACAGTGAAACAGTCCCCTCTGGCCAGGACTACTCATCAGCAGGACCTCCCTGCTCCAAGCAAGCACACGGACAGGCCAAGACAGGCCATCAGAGTGGGGAAAACTGGGCCGAGTCTGTAGTTGCTGAACAGTCTTCTCAAGTGCCTTCAGTTTTGTGAGCAACCTGGCCAGCACAGCTACGGGACTTTCCTCCCAGGTTGTGTTAGATAAACCCAGCTGGCAGCCCCAGAAACCTGAGTGTGATGTTAAGAGCTCAGTGGCAGGGCTGCTGCAGGGAGCCAGGTGCCTCCTGTGCCGTCGACAATCCTCTACCTGGTTGGCCATGGCGCGGAAGTTGAACCTCAGCAGCACCCCCCGGGGCTGGGGCTTGGCCACCTGTGCTGGGGCTCTCTGGCTTCGCAGGAATGGGCGCTTGGATCCAGGCCTGGGGAAAGCACAGAGCTGCTGTCACTCAGGATGCTCAGGCAGCACTTCCCATCCTCTCAAACCAGCACAGAGAAAAGGACACAGCCACACACTCCACCTGTCCCATAGCATGTCTCCCTGGCAGAGCAGCCGTGCAGGCAGAGTCCAGCACTGGGGACTGTCACATCCAGGCCATTGAGGGGTGCTCTCTGCACCCAGCACATGCACAGTGCCCTCACCCACCCTCTTCTCTGCCCCCAGCTGGGTGCCAGCTCCTGCAGCTGCCCCTTTCCAGCCTCTGAGCTCCTCGTACACAGGGAGCTCAGGGTGTCCCTTTGGGGCACACAGTTTCTCCCAACACCCCACAACCAGCACAACCAGCCTGCCACCTCTTCCCACAATAGTGCTTCCATTTCTCCTCACTCTGCATAACAAATGAGGGCACTGTAATTACAGATTACCATGTAATTACAGGTAAATAGAAGAGATTTCTATCTCCTTCTGATATGCTGGGAAAGGAACCAGACATCATTTGCCAACCATTTTGGGTCTGAACCATTCACTGCATACTCATTACAGAAGTGAAGCTGCAATAATGCTAAAGGGATTTGCAATGGCTTTTGTAGGGCTCCCACCCTAACAAATCACCTCATTTACTTACAGGCTGAGCTGGCCCGCCTGGGGATTAAGCACAGAAACCGTCAGAATTGCTCCCGGGCTGGGTTTCACTTGCCACCTGCCAAGACAGGGAGATTTATCCAGCTTCAAGCCTGAAAGAGCACTGTCTATTTGCATTGTGCCTTTGTTCACCAATTACCTTCTCATCCTTGGCGGTTTCCCTTCTCCTTGAGAATCCATCTGCTGTAAAATATATTTAAAAACAATTACTTCAAAGAATTAGCTCTCAGAAACAGTGACTCCTTTTCCAGGATTTTGTTTGGTGTATCTGAAGAGCTCCTTCCTTGTGAGTGCTAATCTGGGGTTTCCCACTAGCACAGTAATGTGTATAAGGTGCCTTTACCTTGCCCTGCTTGTGCTGCTCTATAAATTGCAAGGTTTATTTTTATCACCCTCCCAGGATTTATTTCCCAGCTGCCAGAATACCAAGCTGCATTAAAAACTGCCTGCAAATACTTTCCTATCAATGCATGCAGCATTCAGGTGTGCATAACAAATGAGGGCATCTCTCCCCCAGTTACTTTAGGAAGCAAAGCTACAACTGGGCTGGTAAAACGTGAAGGTTTGTCACTAGCAGCTGGCTGCAGAGGAAATGTCTCAAGCACTGACCCATCTCTGGAAGGGAGCTTTGTAGAACCACTGCTGCATCCGCTTCTGCTGGAATGCTGCTCCTCTGTTCAGCAGGAAAGGCCTGCTATAGGAGAGAGACAAAGAGGTCACCATCATACCAGGTACCTCTAACACTTAATGCCAAAATACCTAACCCAAGCTGGTCTAAAAAAGCAGTGTAAGAAGCAAATGAGGCTGTTTGTTACAGAGTTCAGCCCAACAGGTTTTTCTGCCAGCAAAGGGTTTCAGAGGAACTTGATTTCCTGCTCAAATGAGGCAACAGTTTGTGTGTTCTGAGCTGTGCTCATTAAAAGCAAAAAACATGGGAGGAAAATCATAGAAAAAAATCAGGTCAGAAAGGACCTCTCAATGTTATTCAGTCCCTGTTCTGCTCAGAGTAGATGAAGGATTGCAAGGAGCTTCCTTTGAGCTCAGAGAACATAATGATCTCGATGAGACAGTGCCCAGCACCTGGCACACTGCCTTCCCCACAGCTCCTGGGGCACAGTCTGCTCCTGCAGCCCCTCACTAGGACACACTCCCTGTCTGCCCATCCCTTATGGCTGGAATCTGTATTTCCTGCCTCTGAAAATAAATGCTATTTCACCCTTCAAAAGTTTCCCAAAGCGACTAAGTTTATTAAAAATACCAAGGTCACATTTTCTGTGCTTCCTGAAATAAAATCACAGATTAATATAGGCATTATTAACTATGAGCACAAGGTTGTTTCCTTTCCAAGTGCCTTCCTAACATACCCAGGGGTATTTTTCTGGTGCTGCACATTCACATGGCTGTAGCCACACCCAGCTGGCACATACAGAGAGAGAAACCCCATGAACTGCACAGGTAAAAAAAATCCCATGATTTGCACAGGTAAAAACCACTGAAAGCCAAAATAACCCAGAGTTACCAAAGATTTTACCTCCTCCCTGGGGCACGGATGCTGGCAGCATCTGCTCTGAATCTCTTGGGGCTTGCAGATGGCTGTGGCTGTTCCTCCTGCTGCCCACCACTGCTTTTGGCAAAAGCATTGCTCTTCTTGGTGCCCTGAAAGAGCAGGGAAACTTCAGCAGTTGTCACCTGCAGCACAATCTTGGTACAAGAGCAGGGGGTGAGGGCAGGGACAGCACACGAGGGGCTGCTCTCTGCTGACAACAATCAGTCGGGGGTGCCTTGCTTCCTGCACGTGGAACTGCAGGTGCCAGGGAGAATGTTGCATTCTAATTCTAATTAATTTAATTCTAATGCTGCAGGAACCAAAGAAGAAAACAAAGATCAGTCCATGCAGAGTGAATCTCACAGAAGCTGTGCATTACAGCCCTGCTCAGGTTTCCTTTTCCTTGTCTGGAAGGTGCATTGCCTGGACCATGCCCTGCTGCATGGAACACACCAGAAGAGCCTCAGCAGGGTCTGTCCTGCAGTTCCAACACACACTGCCCCAGGCTCCAGCCTGGTGACTTCTGTGGGACAGCTACCATCATGTTAGTACCAACTAACTGAGGTCTATTTCCATATTCTTCCCCCTTGGTTTATTCCTGCAAAGTGGAAGCTACTGTAGAATTCTGCCTCCTAGCAACTGCTTATTACTCTGTAAATACCAGCCACACTCAATATCTGAGTCATCCTGGTCTTTCTTTTCAGGAATAACCTCACTCCTTGCACATGCATGCTCAGTTCAGGGCTTTCTTATTTACACCCCTTACAACACATTCACTAAATGTGCCATCCTCTTCAGCACTTGCATTTTTTTGAAAAGCTCACTGAACATCTATGACCTCCTAACTGAGTGGATTTTCAACAGTGCAGGAAAACCCAGCTGCCTCTCACACTATCTGTCACAGCACTGGCAATCAGTGTCTCTGGTGGAAAATACATCTCTGAACCAGAATCACCTGACAAGTCACTAAGTCTGTCCTTTGACTTCACAGGAACTTGGAAAATGCTCTGGGTGGAGAACAAATAACAAAGAATCTTAACACACCTCCTCTAAATGATAATAGTAAGATGAAGTGTCATGGAATTAATTTTTATGGAAATATTTTTAAACCTTTTCATACTAATTTTAAAAAATCTTTTTTAGCAAAACCCATGGGAACTGATCAGTAAAATTATGCTAAGTCAGAAGCTTTATAAAACTAACTGTAAAATTGCTATTCCATATTCATGTATGTCTGTACTCACCTATGCATACAAATGCCGTGCACAGGCATTAAAAGATGGTGGTTTTTTATGCAGATTGTTCTTTGGGGGAATCCAGGATCATAAAATTGAGCAGATTTCCACATGACATTAGGGAAAAGCCAGACCCTCCTCATTGCCCTACCTCCTGGGCCGAGTCCTGGCGGTTCAAAGGGCTCACTCCTTGGAATGCAGCAGCTGCTCTTCTCTTGCCACCAGGCAGAGCATTCCTGAACTGCCTCCGATTGAGCTGCTGCTGTCCAAAGCCTCTTCTGAAACGCTGAGGTCCTAAAAACAAAGCCCTTTTACTTTAGCATCATTCAAAATTCAGTTTATGGCTACAGTTTTATAAATAGATTATAAGGTTAACTTAATGTGATACTTCAGAAGTAGTGGTGCAAAAGTCACGCTGATTCATATTAAATAATGAATTTTTCCAATGTCTCTCTAGCACTCTTATTGTATATAGGACTGCCATACACATTATTTGATGTGAAAGAATACAGAACAGAAAAGCCTTTCACAATTCTGATTCCTCATAAAGACAGGAACACCCACATCAGGAGACCTGTCAATCTCTTGTCAGAGCTCACACTGCTATGAATTAACTATGAAACAGAAAAAGCCTTTAGCTACAGATGTACACATGACTTGAGCATCCCAAAGCCAACCCCACAGCAGCTCTGAGGGCCTACATCATAGCACAATTTTTATTTATATATATATATATTTGTTTACTTTTAGCTTGACACACCATAGTTTCTCCTATTGTAGTAGACGCGTCCTGCTGTTCTGCCATGATACACACACACTCGCTGTATGTCCTGCATTTAGCCTTCTCCCCTAAGCCTGCTGATGATTCTGAAGAGTGCTGAAGTGTTGAGCGACAGGAAAGCCCTGTTACACTGAGGCACAGTGCTTCCAAACCTAATTACTGCACATAATAAAATTCTGTAGTCGTAATGAGACAGCAAGTCTCTGAGTCACTGTGCGAGCTGCCACAGGCACAACAACAACAATCACAAAGCCTCAGCTGGAATGCCAGGATGGAATTTCTTTCTGTTACCTCACAAACCAGCAGATCCCTGAAGCAACACCTAAGCAGAGCCACTTGGGCACAGTCAGCAGCACCATTCAGCTTGGCCCAGTGCTGGACAATCACCAGGCTGCCCTCAACACCAGTTTATCAAGGGTTTGCCTGCAGAGGGTCACCACCACGCTGTGCTCTGATCTCTGAACCAAGGCAGGGAGCTCAAGCATATCCAGAAGGGTGCCCCAAGTCTACCAAACACCTCCATTATCTATAACCAGATGTTATACTGCTCAGTGCACACAAGGGTAAACAGCAGATGTGTGTTTTCCTTCACTGCTGCTTCACACTTTGCCATCCCCAGCTGCAAGGTCACTGAAGCCCCTCCGTTTTCAGCCCATTCCCCCCAACAGCTGCTGTATCAGTGAGGTGTGCCCACACCTTGGGGTGAAAAAATCAGGCACAAAGCTGTGCAAGGCAGGGGCCAGTGGGAGTGCACTCAAACCCTGGATCTCACTGACACAAAGCACAGAGCAGTGAGGTGCATATATTGATCTTACATCAACTGCTACGTGACAGCAATTTATACTGCCTTGGAGCAACTGCAAATGATGTGTCCTGAGGCAGCAGTGGCAGGGCTGTGAGGGGCCACCACTGCCACAAAGAATGAAGGCTGCAGCCTCAGGGTGTCACACCAGCCAGCACCAGCCTGAGCTGCTTACACTGGAACATGCTTCAAGATGATTTGAGCTGCTCTGGCTCTAAAACAGACGGGCACCAGGACAGGCCCATGGGAAGCAGATCCCAAACACCATGGTGGGGTGCTTCGTGCCCCATGGCCAGAGGTGCTGCTTGGGAACATGCACAAAAACACAACACAGTTCAGAAGCTCTGGGGCCAGCTGTTATTTCCTTTGCAGACAATGCCCTCTCATTGCAGGAGTGCAGGTGTGTAAATGTTCCTTTTGTAACAAACATTCAATTTTGGCAAACTGTTTCTTTTTGACCACATGCAGACTTGATGTCATCAATGTCCCTTCGATTTTTTCTCCTGCTTCTATTCCCCCAGTCTGTTTTTGCCCTGCCTTGTTTCTCTTCAGCCCCCACCCTGGGTCTGTCCCTATCTCTTGCCTGTTGGCTGGGCCGCTCTGCTCCTGGACACCCAGCCTTGCTGCACAGCTCTCCTACCCCCTGTGGAGGACAAGAGGCTGAGCTCAGCTGCCTTTCCTGGATACTCTCAGGGCAATGGCAGGGACTGCTGCAGAAGGCAGCCCTGACTAGAAAATTGTGTCCCTGTCAGTCTGTTCCTATTAGAGAGCCTGTGCTCAGCAGGGCACTCAGGCACAGCTCACCCAACACAAATGACACATGACAGAGCCATCAGCCTCCAAGGGGGACCCCATCACACCAGCTGGGGACCAAGGCCTCGCTCTGTCATCTGTGTCCTGAAGTGTGTGACACATGGGAGGCTTCATGTCTGCAAAAGGTCTGGCAGATATTTAATAATGTAAGAACATTTCAATAAAACCCCACAGCATCAGCAGCTGGGGAGGAGCCCCCACACACACACATCTCCCATGTTTGGATGTGTGCTTAGAGCCTGTCCCTGAGCACACCTGGGATGGCCAAAAGGCACCTCTGCTCAGCCAGTCCAGTCTGGGCACAAGTTCCCATGTCTGACAGACTCTTTTTTCCAAGGAGATTTGAAATTCAAATTTCTTGTCATTAAAAATCATCTTTCCCCCACTAGGGAGGTTTAAGCCATATTCCAAGAGGGATTAACAGCACTTTGCTTGCTGGTTTAATCAGCATAATACCCTTCCCCCTCCTCTGTCATTACAGTGCTGGGCTCCTCAGATCATCATTTTGATAATGGTTATCACATCTCAGCCCAGAAGGGACTGCATTTCAGCAGGGACCAAAGTGAACTGAGCCCCTGATGAATTATGGGCTGAATTCCCAGTCATGCTGAGCTTCCCCAAATTGCTACTGACAATCAGCACCACACAGCATGGCAGGTCTCTGCACTTGGCAGGGCTGAATTCAGACTCCCTGAAAACCTATGAAATACTAAAACTAGCAGAAATAATTATATAAATTAACAGAAAAGCTCTCCCATCTAAGAAATAGGGAAAAAATATTTTATTGGATTTGCCTCTGGGTGCAGTAATTGCTTGAGTGCAGGAGAATATCAAAGCCTGTGGGTTCTGATAGAAAAATCAATTTGCTAAGGGCATTTATCACCTTTGTGATTTGAACTAGAACAATCCTCAGTAAGGCACTGTGTGATGGTCACCAAGAACACAAAGGTGGGAGGCAGAGCAGAGACAAGCAGGATTGCCCCCAGTGATCTCACTGTCCTGATGTGTGACTGGCACTCCAATATAAGACTGAAAAGATATTTCTGAAAAATATCACTAAAATCTTCAGGGAGCGACTTAGCACTAATTAAAACCAAAGAAGTTCATAGAGATGTCATTTCATGCAGCAGGCAACTTTGGTTTGTAGGTAAAAGCCAGTGGAACAAAACAAAGGTGTGATCACTCAGTATTACAAAAAAAACTTGCCCTAAAAATAGCATGCTTGGCAAAAGTGACAATTTAGCCTCAATAACTGAGCTATCAAATACAGTTACTGAGGGGGTAATTTTGATAATTTAAGTCTGCTCTGGGAAAATGAGGATTAGGAAGAGGCATAATTAAAATATGCAAAGCCAAGGGGAATACAGAATAGATATTAAGTCACTTTAAATCAGTAATTCATGAGAGTGGAAGGGAGAGAAATGGATGAATTATGCTCTGAAAGGGCCCTGATATTCCATTGTTATGGGGAGAAAAGCTAATCAGGGCCTGAGCGCATCTTATCCGCACACAGAAATTGGATAGGAGAAGGATTGAAGAGCTGGATTTTGCTAAAAATGCCTTTCCCAGCCTGGCCAGCCTCTGCTGCCTCAAGTGCCCATGTACCTTGCAGATTCCTCTGCTTCCAGGCTCGGTACCGGGGCCGTCCATAGCCAGGGGCTGAGCTCCTGCTCTTGACCTGCTGCCTTCTGCTGTCGCCCACGGCGCTGGCATCTGGCTGCTCCTTCCTGTGCCGCTTTATGATGTCATCTGGAATGAAATGAGGAGAAATCCATGGAAACTGCACTTTCCACCAACAGCCATTCCCTCTCTGGGTGCTCGGATTGTCCGTGGTAAACACAGAGCTCGCTGCTCTGTGAGCTCCGCTGGGCAGACAATGAAAGATTAAGCTCAGTTTAGAAAGTATAGGATCAATTTACTGGGCTCCTGCAGGCTGGAGATTAGAGTGCAGCAAATGATTTACAAATGTGCCACCATCCAGCACCTCCCCAGCACGGGTAGGACAGAGATTTCAGACCCCATCCATTGAGGGATCTGGTCCTGCAAGCTTCCCACAAGCCTAAGGGAAGATGTTCTGCAGGTGCACAGGAGCTCAGTGCTGGGCAGAGAACTTTTCTGAGAAGGTCTGACTTGAATTGCTGTAGGAAAGGTGGCCAAAGAGGGGAGGATGTGACAGCTGTTGAGCTACTTGGATCATGCACAAAGCAGTGCCAGGTGCAGAGCTCTATCAAGAAACACCTCAGGCCCCTCCATTCTCAATCAGCTGGTCTGCAATCAACGGGATCTTCTTAACTCAAGCTCTTCTGATGAAGAGGAATGGCAAAGGCAAAGGGATGTCTCTTCAATAATTCATATCTTCCAACATTTTCTTCTTTTAACCTCAAATCTTCCAGAAAATACTTTGCAAATAATAGAGGCACATCTGTGAAGCTGCAGGCAGAATGTTTTAACTTGAACGAATTAGCAAGAAATGAAGTGTCCAAAACAGGCCCTTTCCCAGGCAGTGGCTACTCCAGCTCCTTAATGTAGCTCTGGAGTCAAAGGACAGAAGTACCATCAGCTTTCAGTGGGTGCTTACCATGAATTATCAGACCTCCAGCACTGCTCCCTTGTCATCTCCTATCAAGAAGCTCCTATATCCAAATGAATACAAAGCCCAAGGAAAAGAAACTAGAGCATAGTAAGAATAGGCTGCTTTTGTGATTTCTCTTTCAAGTCTGCCAGGAAAAGAATAGGCTGGGAGATGCTGGGCCACGTTCTTGGGATGAATTTGCTAATGGTCTCAGCGAAATGTGCCTTTGGGGCACGTGTGATTTGGAGCACAGGATGCTTTGAAGCGTTTTTAAAGCATCCCTGCACGCTCTGCAGGGAGGTGACCACACTCATCCAAGGGTCCACAGCATGAGGAAATGAGAGGGGCTGAATGCTCAGGTGCCTGATCTGTCACCTTTCAGTGTCTTTTCTGTTTGGGTATGAGTTGCTACACTGCCTTTTGTGCCCAAAAACATGATGGGGTTAACAGAGCGATGTAATGGACTACTGCATAAGGCTGCAGGGGGATCCTGAGAGGTCATTTCTGGTACACCTATGCCCTCGAGGCAGAATGAGATCTATCAGGGCAGCTTTAAAGCAACTCCTGCAGTTTTTTGTGACTGCTAACTCATGTAAGGCACAAATGTATCTGAAAGCATAGAAAAACCACCTGATGGAAAAAGGTCTTCACCAGAGGCCTCTTGTTTTCCAATTCTCCCTTCTACCCTGAGTAAGGTACATTCTGGATGGAATATGGAGTTGGACCACAGGAGGTCTGACTCAGAGAATCACTAAGAGAGAGGAAAAGCAAAGGAGCATCACATATCAGCAAAAAGAAAAAGGGTGTGCAACATTATGTGAGAAAAATAAATCAAAAATGAGGGAGCCACTGTTGCTATAGCTCCTCATAGAGACATTAAAATAAGGGTGCATAAGCCAAGGGATCAGTTTGAGTTTGCAGTGGAAAATGTTCGTCGTTCCTAACAAATGACTCTTCGCTGGGAAGAAATGACACAAGGTTTCAGTTAGGAAGCTGACCCAGTAACAAAAGGCGCTGGTGGATTTCCTTTCACAGCAGAGACACCAACACGATAATCCACCAAGATCTCTCATCCATGCGTCAGAAGCCAGGCCTGGGGAGTTCATGGCAGGGCGGCTGTCGGTTGTTTATGCTCAGTGCACATTCCCGGTGCCAGAGGAATGGCGAGCATCGCAGCAAGCTGCTATAAATAGCACTGCGAGGCCACGGCCCCCGTCTCTGTCAGCGGGGCTGCTCTGCCCGAGCCCCCTGTGCCGCTGTCCCGTGAGCCCCGGGCTGCTGCCAGCCCAGCCCAGCGCAGCTCCGAGCCCGGGCCCGCACACGGCCCCTCCGCCCGAGCGGCACCGGGACAGGGACACACGCACGGCGGGGCCACCTGCGGCCCGAGCCCGGCCCGAGCCACCGCGCACAGCCACCCAGCTCCCCGCCCGCACGGAGGGCCCGGCAGCGCCCCGCACCTACCCAGGGACATGTCGATCTCCTCGGCGCCCGGCTGCGGCCCCGCCGCGGGGCCCGGTGCGGGCTGCGGCCCCGCCGCCTCCATGGGCCCGGAGCGCTGTGCGCTCACTGCGCCTGCCCGGAATGTGCCGGCCCCGGCCCGCCCCGGCCGCTCCTGCCCTCGCCCCGGCTGTCCCTACCCTCGTCCCGGCCCCGCCCGGCTGTCCCGGCCCCCGTGTCCGGCTGTCCCTGTCCCCGCCCGGCTGTCCCGGCCCCCGTGCCCCACTGCCCTGTCCCCGCAGCGAGCGGCACCGCCTGCCGCCAGCACTGCTCCCCGCCCGGCTCAGCCCTGCCCCGGCCGCCTGCCCTCCGCACCCTCCCCGCCGATCCCTTCCATCAGCATCTCCCCTCCATCTCTCTCTGCCTCAAGCGCCGTGCCCCAGCCTCTGGGCTGACACTTATCCGCTTCTCCCCCCGAATCTTCCTCCCCCGGGGTTCATGCCAGCGGCAGATGTATTTTAACAACCCGGCAGTCAGTTCTGAGCCGTGTGAACGATGGAATGACCTTGCTTCTTTCTGAAGACCAGAAAAACAAGCAACTCTATGAACAGAGATACTCGTGGCTCATATTCGTGCATGAAGTCTGTTCTCATTTGTGAGCACCCGGAGGAGGATGCACCCATTTGGGACTGGTCTCGGGCAGCATCCCCATCACACACAGAACTCAGATTCTTCAGGGATCTATCTTTCAGTCTCTGTAACATTGGTTATGGCACCAAAGCCATTCTACAGTTTGCATATAAAATGCGAGCTAAACCATCTTCCTCTATGTTAAAAGACAGGTGAAGAAATAAAAAAGAGATAGGATAACAATATCTTCCAAAGGGCTACCATACATCAAGTGAAGAGCATGCTTTTCTCTGAAGTTTCCATAAGACAAATGCTGTGAAATAAACTTTCTCACCACATACATAATAGGGGCCACATAAATAGTGAACAGTGTCTGCATGTTCTGCATTTTCAATACAGTGGTTTTTTTCCATCTTGCACCTCAAATGGGAGAGAAGTTTCTACAAGCAGATCAATCAGGGCAAGAATTACCTCCTGGTATGTGTACAGCTCTTTGAAAGATCAAGTGCTTCTGAAAGTGTTGGTTAAGGGAGTTGTTCCTTCATGAAAGAAAACAATGGAACAGTGCTGAGGGACAGCAAATAACCTTTGCTGTATTTTGCAGTGACACTGCAGAACGACCATGGAAGCAGACTGGTGTGAGATGTGAGGAGCTGGGGTTGATACCTTGTTTGCAATGTTCTGGGGTACACAAGATGTGCTGGAGGTTCTGCTGTTCTCTGGGGAACCTGGCTCTAATGCTGCCCTAGTCCAAGAGAATTCCTCCAAAGAGAACCCCTGAGATTTCCCAGCAATTTAGCCAGGGTATCCAGAGAAGCTGTGGCTGCTGGGAAAGAACTGGAAGTATCCATATAAGCCCAGCTTTTAGTGATGTACTGGGAGAGGAGGTTTAGAGCTGTATCATTTCCTAGCACCCAAGGAGGGTGCAGGACAGGGCTCTAGCAGTGTCCTGCAAAGCAGCAGCTGTCCAGAGACACGAGGGAAGGGCTGCAGCAGGGCTCTGGAGTCTCCTCAGGTACAGGCTGAATGACCCAGGTTTTCACACAGGGCAGCAGCTGGAGTTGGTCACTCTGCGAGGTCAGTGTCATGAAAGCTTTCCTGACTTTCTGTAAAGTCTTGGACATTTGTATCTTCAGAAACTCTGGAAACAACAGCTGAGAGATTTCCAGCAGTGTTTCTATTTGATCACATTTAGTGAAACAAACATTTGGGACCAAGGAAGACAACGGCAGAGTTTAGAAATGGCAACTTCTAAAATATTCAAAGGACATTTTTTCATGGAACTACAACACAGCTTTTGCAGCAAATTCCACTTCACCAGCTGAGAGGTTTAATTAGCTGCTTTCCTTCAAGTGCATAGCATTAAAGGCAGAGATAAAACCTTTCCAAGCCACATTTCTTCATCTGGGAAGTATGAGCTGATATGTGCTCTTATCTCTCAACTGCCAGTCTGTGACCTCTTAACATCTTGGCAAGTGTCCCATTTGCTTAGTGTGTCTGAGCACTGCCATCACCTCAGTCCTGAGCAATTTCTCACATCAACAGAGGAGGTGACACGTGCTGGAGCTGGTGAAAAGGCCTGAAGAGACAGAGCCTCCTCTGAAGCACAATCCCCCTGCCCTGGAGTGGACTGCAGGTGTCTGGCAGACAAACTTCACTCTGCATCCACAAAAAGTAATGTCAGGAATGTGACTTTCACAACTAAAAAGGGAGATAAATAAATGAACAATGAAAAAAGAAACAAAGAAGGGGGAAAGGGGGGAAGTATTTATGTTATGCTTTCTTCTAGAAGTGTTTTGTGTTGACTCACTGATACTGTGGCAACAAACCATCAAGCTGAGCCCTCAAAGAGCACTGGGGCACCTCTGCCAAGGGCACCAGGTATTCCTTCCCTTGTTAGGCACAGGCAGGACCAACTTGTTCCAAAAGAGCAAGTGTTACTTTGGGGCACTGGGCCTTTCAATTTATCAGATGCTCTGCTTGTCATACAATGAAACCTCAAGGAGCCCCAGAAGGCTTTTAGATAAAACTAAACAAAAATAAACTCAGTGGGAGAAAGGGAACGTACGCCAGGAGTCAAACACTTGTATTATCTGAAATGTGTTCTTGGTCTCTAAGTAGATTTAGGAATCTTCTGCATGTTAAATTACTTGTCATGATTTATTGTTGTAACAAATCTTATGCCATGATCTCAGAATTAACACTGGCCACTTTGTCTCTTACTCCCAGGGGCACCTCATATCACAGTTACTTAATACAAAATTGCAAAATATGTGACTGTTCACTTTCATGAAATTGACCTAAAACTACATGACTCAATTGCTAATAAATGTTTAAGTTTTTTTTTTCTTGGGAACTAAGCCCTGGTGGCTGTAGGAATACGTGTCAAGGTAAGGCTTGGAATCTGCACGCACACATTTTTTATCTGAGGGTATGGAAGCTTTCCAGCCTCTCCCAGAATTGCTCAAAGCACAAACAATCACTTAATTCAATGGGCCAAAACTCTGATCACTTTTGTGACACTGCATTTTGCCCACAAGGGGGATGCTTAGGCCTTTTAATTTATGAGAACCCCAGGACCATCACTCTCAGCACTTCACAAGGAACACTGGTAGCAGTACAGCTACAATAGCTTGCTCCAAAATTGGTGAAGCACCACTAGAAAGAGCTCATGTTCTATTGTTAGATGCTGAATGTGGCCTTTCAACCATATGTTACCACTTGAAAATCATCTTCTTGAGAAGATGGAAGAAAACAAAACACTTCTTCGGGCTCTTGGAAGAAAATTCCAGTGACACCAATATTTCTTTATTTTAGCCATACCCAGAATGAACTACATGGATGATGATAATTCAGTTTTTATGCAGAATCTATGCACTGTATGCCATAAAGTGGCTGAGGTACACACATCACTGAGCTCTGCTCAGGGAAACAAGATCACATATAATGACAAAACCCTTTGCTTCTTACAATTTAGCAGATGCAGCCTGCAGAGAGCAAAACTGAGTTTTTTAGAGAGGAGTTATTGGCTTTTTCTCTCCCTCTCTCTCTGTATGTGTATTAAAATTGTCATCTCAGCCTGGCACATGCAAAACCACTGCTACAACACCCATAAGCTGTACCTCTGGACTATGCAGAGTGTCCCATAGTGATCCCATAAAAAAGCACATGAACAGGATGACAGGGAGCTGGAAGCTTCAGTGCAATCTGGGACCAGCCAGGCAACATTCCAGTAAATGGAGATCCACAGGTACACCACCCTTGGCTCTGCTGCTTGTTGGCATGTAGGAGTAGTTTCAGTTTATCCTGCTTTTAGGGACCTCTCAATGTTAAAGTAAACCTTCACTGAAAGGGCAACATTTCTAATCTCTCCAAGGAACAAGCAAGACAAGTGTGCTACTGCACAGAAAACAAGTTATTCAAAATAGAATAAAAGGACAAATCTTGACTGAAATCACACCAAAATGCTCAGTGAAGGACAAAGGTCTCTGCAGCACCACAAGAAGAGATTTGCAGTGCAGGTAGCTGAAACAGGTGGGAATTGAAATGATGCCTGTAAGGAGAGATGCTCCCTCCCCACTGCCTTCAGAACTGTTTCCTGGTGCTCAATGAAGCATTGCTAGCTGTGCAATGAATCAGATGCTCCCAATGGGAAAGGTATCAGGAATATTCTCATTAATGGATCTGCTCTCTCATTGTGGTCTGTACAAAAAGACTTAAAGAACAGATATTGCTTGCCAAGGCAGCCAGACAGAATCCTGCTTGCTTCTTCTCTATTCAAGCATCTGATGTTGGAGTATTTTGAACTATTTCTAGCTCTTTAAAATGGCGTTTCGGACAAATGACTGCCCTTTAGCAGAGATAGAGTGGCATTTGCCTTTTGATCTAAGAAGGAATATATGTATCATTTGCTTACTTCACTTTCAAAATGGGCCAGATGGTACCACTTTAGTGTGAATCTTGAATCCAGGTATTTGAAGATTATTTTAAGTGCCTGTGGGAAGCTGTGCACACCTGCAGGTCTCAAAGTAGAAAAGCAATATCCATGACATATATAGCATGTGCTGATAAGATAAGTAAACACAAAGGATTTGAAAAAGCATCAAGGAGATGGCACCAGGATCCTGGGAGTGTTGAAGGAACAGTGATTGTGTTACCTCAGTGTCTCACCCATGGAGGAGCACTGAGTGCAGTTATAAAGAAGCACAGCAAGAACAGTAGGAAAGCTCTTGTTTAATTGCTTAAAGCAAAAGGAAGTCTCTAAAGGATGCAAAAAAGATCAGTGCTGACATTTCAGAAGGATTTAATCTCTCTAAGCAAATGGCAATCCAGACTGACAGAGCCTTGCTGTGTGTCCACCTCAAGGACTTTACTCAGGAGCACTGAAAGCTTCAGGGGTGTCCCTGCTGTTGACAATCCCTGTTCTCGGCCAGAGGTGGCAGAGCTTGTGGAGCTGCCAGCACTGTGGAGGTGTGGAGGGAGCATCACTCTGCACAAGGCCCTGGGCAGCACCTCAGCCTGTCACTGTGCTGTGATGTCCTCACCACAGCGCTGGCCCGCCCTGGGACTCAGCCTGCAGAGTGACAAAGGTGACCCAGGACCGCTCTCCTGCTGTCCCTGCTGCCACAATCAATTTCACAGCAACACTGCAGATAATCCTGTCTGGCTGTCTGCAGAAGGCAGTGCCCTGGGGAGCTCTGTGAGCCATGATGCTGAGCAGGGCTGAGAGCAGCAGCAGGCAGAGCAGCAGGACGGGCACACAGCTCTCACTGCCTGCTTCTGAGCTGTGCCAAGGGCTGCCTCACTGCAAGAGTTGTGAGCAACCACATCTTGCATTCCATGGTGAAAGTCAGATAGATCAAAGCCTGATCTAGATCTCATTCCTCCAGGCATTAACATTACATTTGTCGAAGTCATATCTTAATGAGGTTTCATCTCATCTGGGGCAGATGTGGGTAACCACAAAGACTTTCAAAGTGGAAGCTCTTCATGGCAGTGTGAGATTTTCAGAAATTTTCAAACTCCTGAAACTTGACTCTGTCTGGCATGGCTGCAAGAAAATATGCTTGTCTTGTGCAGTCTCATGACAACATCTGAGTGTTTCCACCTCTTCTTCTACTCAACTTCCATAATAAACAAGAAATGCAACAATCTCTCTTTTCCAGGAGAAACTGAGAGATGGCACAGCTGTGGCTCATTGTGCCAGGAAGGTTGGTTTGGGGAGCCTTCTGTCACTAAACTAGCAACTCTGGTTTTGCTTGTGAAATGACAAAGAAAGGAGGGCATGGGAAAAAAGAACTGTTGAAAGGCTGTGAAATTAGAAATAAAAGTAATTAGACCTTAGCATTCCAGACATCTGTTCTGGTTCTGCAGCTACTGGAGGTGATAAATGACCCCCACAGGTAAATCTGCTCTACCACAGGAATGTGCTGTCAGCTTTCAAGCTTTTGCCTGACTCAGCACCAATTTGCTGAAGACAATTTGCAGATTGGGAATTTTTGGTGAACAGTTAGGAAAAGCCTCAGACATTGCTTCCAGCCTACAGTATAGGAAACTTCAGTTCCTTTGAAGATGTGAGATGAGAGACCGAGCAAGCTTGGCTTGCTTTTTGTATGGGCACCTGCAGGCACAGTGATAAAAAGGCCACTAATATGTGAGAACTCTGGTGACAGAAAAATGCTTTAACTCTTTGGTAATTTGTCAGACCTATTTCATACAAAGAGAGGTGAACTTTTTCTTTATCTAAGTTGGGCTCTAAAGAGCAAGAGGCTGAGTGATGTGGCTGAGAGGGAGGACAACCAAACTGCGCCTCTGAGCTGGCCCTGTGCCGTGCCACACACTTTGGAAACTCAGAGCAACTCTGTCTAATGTTTAGTAAAATTTATGTGCTGGAGCTGGTCCTGGCTCCTGCTCTGCTTCACTCTCACCAGCTGCAGAGCCACTGTGCCTCCTGCTCCATGTCTGCTGACAAAATCATCCTACACACTTGGCCCAACACCAGTCTGGGTTTATTCACCCTCCACCCCCTCTGGCTGGAACCTCAACCAAGGGCAGCACTCAGCAGTGTTTATACAGGTTGGTCTGATTTTCTTGTTGGGAATCCAGGGAATGATTGGTTTTTTCAGGGCAGGAGCAGAAGCTGTGGCCCAGCCAGACTGATGGGCAGGTATCCATCTGAAATGCCACAGCCCCGGTGAGTAGGCAGAGCTGAGGGCAGAGGAGGCAGACAGCCACACTGTTTGCAGGTGACAATGGGACCTCTTCCCCCACAGCTGCATTTTGCACACAGAGCTCTTGGCTGGAAGGGCAATCTGTGTGCCAGGACAGGGAGATCCCCACACCCACAGAGCTCTGCACTGAACCCTGCACTGCTCAGGACCTGCTCACTGATCCTGCCTCAGTGGTTCTGCTGAATGTCACCCAGACATCATCAGCCACATCGGATTTCAGCTCTGGGCCTCAGTGATCAATAATGGCTCAGCTGTCTGTCAGTGACGCTGCTGGCTGAAGGCCAGTCTCTTCCATAGCCCCTGGAGAGGGAATTTCCCTTAGATCCCCCAATTAGGCATGACATATGCATGCAAAAATAAACAAAAACCAACCCAAACCAATTCCAGAATTCAAGGATCTTCTTGAGGTTCAAGGCTTAAAAGCAGATTCTGCTCATCAAACATATGACAATTGCATTAAAATGTGGGACAGTGAGGCTTTCTTTAGCATTTCCTAATCCACAGTTCCAGAGCCATTTTTGGAAGAGAAGTATGCAGCATCTAGCAAGGACCGATTACATGGTAGGAGAGGTAATTATCCATCCACCCAGTATGCCACCAGGTCTGTTTCATTTTATTCAGGTAACTGGGCCCTGAACCTTGCAAGGGGCTTCTGATTTATGTCTCCCCACTGCCCTTTCACGTTCTGAGCTCGGTGCATTCGTGTCTGTGGGGCTTTTGTGAGCGTTCCTTCACCCATTTCAAGGTGAGCCGCTCGCTCGTCTTGCCTTTGTTCTGCCACAGACAAGTCGTGGGTGATTTCTGCAGCCCGTGCCCGGCTCTGCCGGTGCCCGGCTTTGCGAGGCAGAGGCCACAGAGGCTCCGATGCTCCCGGCACAGGAGAGCTGCGGGCCTGAGGAGCGGCCGATTCTGTGCGGGGCCGGGGCAGCGGCGACGGCACCGGCGAGGAGGACGTGAGGGCAGCGGGCAGAGCCGAGCGGGACATGAAGGGAGCGGCCAGAGCCGAGCGGGGCGTGAGGGGAGCGGGCAGGGCTGCCCTCCCAGCGCGCCGAGGCTGCCGAGCCGATGATCGTCCCTCCTGGGCTACCCCCGCTCCCGGGATGCCTCCGTTGCCAGGAGGATCCCAGTGCTGCTCCGATCCCGATCCCGATCCCGATCCGCTCCCTCAGCCCCGGCAGCGCCCCCTAGCGGCACACGAGCCCTCGGGCACACAGCCGCCCGCCCCCTCACGAAGCCCCGCCCCTCGCCGCCGCCGCCCGCCGCGGATTGGCTGGCGCGGCCGAGGAGGGCCGCGAGGCCCCGCCCCGACCCGCGGCGCCCCCTGCGGGCCCCGCGGCGCCTGCGCAGCGGCCGCGGCCGTTGTTGTGGAGGGGCCGGTCAAGATGGCGGCCGGGCAGGGGGGCGGCGGCGGCAACAACGGCAGCGGCAGCGGGACGGCGGCCGGGAGCGGAGCGGCGGGGCTCGGCATCCCCGCGCACCTGACTCTCTCCTTCTCGTCGGGGCCGCACTGGGGCGCGGCAGCTCTGCCGCAGTCGCACACGGTGCGCAGCCTGGAGCGGGCCCTGGAGGAGGCGGGCAGCTCGGGCATCCTGTGCCTGAGCGGGAGGAAGCTGCGCGACTTCCCCGGCAGCGGCTGCGACCTGAGCGACACCACGCAAGCAGGTGAGGGGGGCCCCGGCATGGCCGGGCCGGGGCTGCGGGCGTCCAGCGCGGCCGGCGCGGAGGGCGGGGGGCGCGGAGCCGCTGTGGCGGCCGCCGGGGCCGGGCGGTGGCGGGTGCGGGGCCCGGGAGCGGGGATGCAGCGGGGGGGTCCCCGCGGTGGCCGGGCAGGGCTGGGGGCGCAGCCGAGGGGTGACACGGGAGCGGCCGCTGTGGGTGAGGAGCGGAGATCCCGCTGGGTGCGGGCACTGGGGGACAGCGGGGAGGCTCCGCGTTTGGCGGCTCTCCGTGCAGGCAGCGGCCGGGGTGTAGAGGATGTGGGGCTGCAGTGTCCGGGCCCCTCTGGGCGCACTGGGGTCGGTTCTGCTGTGTGAGTGTGGGGCGAGCCTCCGTGCAGGTGTGGCTGTGAGCGGGGCACGCTGAGCCTGCGGTGTGCGAGCGGAGCGGGGCACCCGGCGGTGCCTGGGCAGGCGGAGGGAGAGCGGCTCTGTGTGAGCGTGTGCGAGAGCACAGGGGCGTGTGTGAGTGTGGCAGGGCACAGCGCTCTGTGTGTGTGTTGTGTGTGCGGGGGCAGAGGGGCTCCCGGCACAGCCCGGCCTGCGTGGCCGAGCTCACCGTGCTCGGGGGTGGAAGTCGCTGTCCCCTGGGCGCTGGGAGCGGGGCCGGCGCTGTCGCTGTGCCCGGGCCCCGGGGCTGTGCGGGGCGGAGGGGAAGGTGCTGCGGTCTGTGTGCCTGCAGGGAAGAGGGGCGGTCTCAGGGAACCGGGCATTTGTCCCTGTGTCGGTGCATACGTGCCTTAAGGTGGGGAATTGCAGCTGGTGTGTCCGGAGCAGGGCGTGCAGGGTGACGGGAGCGCTGGAGTTCGCGCTCGGTGAATGAGAGCTCCGTGTTGTGGTTGTGCTGTACCTTCAAAGGTATCTGATTCCTTGCAGTAAAAACTGTGTAAAACCTGGGTTATCGCCCTCCCTGCTCAGCAGCAAGGTGGTTCCAAGTGCGGGTGCGAGGGATGTGTGAGCATCCAGCAGTGAGCGTGGAGAGCTTGGTGTGTGTTGATACCGTGAGTGTGGGCCTGCATTCACCCAGGCTTTCAGGTGCCGTAAATATGGAGGCATTTTTCTATACGGTTCCTGGAAAACAAAGCTACCTTTTCCACAGAGGTTCTCTCGTATTGTGGCTCATCTCCATTTGCTTGTAGGGTTTTTTGCTGCTGGGGTTGCTGAAAATAGATAATTTTAAACAATGTGCTAGACGAAAATATTACTGAGAGGCCCGGGATCTTTTGTTCACAAATAGTAGTGGCTTTTCAAAATGTTCTTTGAGTGAATTGATGCTGTGGGAGGGTTTGTTTTGGGGCCTTTCTTTCCCCGTGGGTTATGAATAGCTGGCATATTGTTTGGAATAGGAAACTGTCCATGGTGGCAGCTTGAAATAAAAAGAGGTTCTATGAAATAATGGAAGCTGGAGTTTTCCTTGCAGCAGCATAAAAATGTATTTAGCAATATTGTTGGTCGCTGCTTTGTGTAGATACTCAATAACCAAAGCACTAGGCGTGTGGGTAATCTGTTATTAAAAAGATTTTCTGTATCCTGAAGCTGGAGCATCAAGGCTCTGTACTTTTGTTGGCTTCTAATTATTGCTGTGTGCATTTTGGTAGGGTTTTTTTGTCCATTTATTTTGAATCTCAAGGTTTGAGTCAGAGCTGTTTACAGTGATCTTGTGTCTGTATTCTAGGATGTAGTAGAGCTCAGTCATTGCCATCAGGATTAAATTGTTATTGTGTATGGTGGTATGAAAATGTTTTAAGGGCTGTCTCTGGCGGAAATAGCTTTATTGCTTGCTGCTCTAAAATCCTGTACTGAAATAGTTAAACTGCATCTATGTAAGTCCCATCTTGGGAGAATCCTGATTTAGTGTAGTCCTGGTTTATGAATGAATCCTGGTGAAATACGAATTTTAGATGTGTTTCAAAAGATGCTTGTAAAAAAAGACCTGTAGTGTGTAGTTTGACTTGATCTGTAGAAATTTTTGTCAAGTGGGTAAACGGTGTTGTGCTGGTGAATCATGGACATCCTTGGCAGTGTCAGTGTGGCCTGGAGCTCCGTGGGGAATCAGCAGCTGCCTCGGAGGCAGCAGTCCTGCAGTGACTGGTGTTTCTGTAGCAGCTCTCCCTGTTTCACATGCAAATATCCCCTTGAACAAGGTTCTGGACTGAGGAACTGGGGGCTTGGGTCACAGATCTTCCCAGGGTTTCACTTTCTGTTTTCTGTCAGTGACTCTGAAATTCAATTCTGTGGTACTTGAAACAAATATTTTAAATAAATAGTCTCTGACCAGTGTGGATGTAAACAATTTCTTTTCCATATCACCAGCCCTTAGGCAGTAGATCTGCAGTGTTGCTGTAAACCCAGAATATTCTATCTTTATATCAGTAAAGTCAACAAGAGCTATGTTGAACCACAACTTCTGTTGATTTATCAAAAATAGCTTGGGATTTTATTTTGCATCTAACTTACATAATGGCTTGCCAATGCTTAATTTGCAAATACTGAGGCATAGTTTTTGTACTTTAAATGATGTGTCTAAAGCATAGTGACCATATCTGGCTGTTTAGCTCTTTTTGTTTGTTTGTTTTTTTAACTGTGAATTGTCCTTGCCACACTTTGGCCAGGAAATCTTTATTTTATTATTTATCTGAATTTGTCTTCTGCTGCCCAAACAGATCTTATGTTGCTTTTAATGAACTTCTGAAAACAAAAGAAAATCATAGTTCTTGAGATATCAAGAGAATATCTTGAATATTCCAGTAATTTTATGTGTATCTTTGCTTCTGTCTGCATGAACAGCATTAGGCCCCCTGGCAGTTAAGTAATTGAGTCTATCACATCAGTGTAATCACAGTCTGCTTAGCTGGAGAGTTCTGTTTGCTGCTTTGTTTTTTTAAAGATAGTTCAGTCTGACAGTATGGCACAGGAACCTAAGTCAACCTGTGCCTTTAGTGATTTTCCCCCTTTTTAGTGAGCACCTTTAAGAAATGATTTTAGTGAATAGGAAAAGTGTGTGATCAACAGCTCCAGAAAATGCAGTGGTGCCATCAGGCTTATTTGTTTATGGCTTTGTCACAGCAGCTTCAATTCCCACCTCTTAATTCTGAGGGAACTCCCAGGCAATTGGAAGTAGGTGAATGTAAATAGACAAATGTTGAAATTTCTCCTTTCTCGCTTCTGCTTTGCCTTCCCAGCATGGAGGAGTGACACCAGTGTATTCCAGTGTGACTGGGGAGTGAGCTCTGCTGTCCTGGCCAGTGCCAGGCTTGGCATGGCATTGTTCCAGAAACCATTGTCACCTTTACTTCCATGTCTTTGCCTTTTTTTACATCCCATTTCTGGCCCTTCTGAGGCACATTGTCATTCATGTGATTACAGATGAAACCCCCAAGGCTTAATATTGAGTGTGAAATGCATAAGAATGTTAATTTATAATGCAGTTCTGCCTCTACAGTATGCACTTCTAAACCAATTATATTTTCCTTTCTGAATAAAATGATTTCTGTTGATGGAGCTGATGTTGATTAAATTGAGGACAGTGGTGACTGAACAGCAACAACAAATCCAATATTCAGCTAAAAAAATAAGCATTCTTATAGGATGTATATCCTAAATCTTGATTGCATTCTGGAAATCAATAACATTGCAATATGTGGTTCTTCAGCAGCATTTTCTGCAGATTTGAACAAAAAAAGGAACTCTGATTCTATGGTTTTGGGGGAGAGGAGTCAGTGTTTATGCTCTGAAATGCATCAGATGCAAAAATGTGGAAGTGACGCAGTTTATAAACAATTCTGGAAGTTTTCTGCAGTGTTCTCACAGCCTGTCCTGTGTTTGGGCATGGCAGAAATGAGCTCTGTGTGCTTGAGGATTTCTTGCTGAGGGCCACTGTTAAGGATCCTGGTTAAAGATGCTTGGTGTGATGGGCAAGATCAGCTCAGTGACTTGTAGTTAAAGGAGCTGATTGTTACTATTTGCCCACCTAAAAGGATTGTATCGTGAAGAACACCACTTATATCTTAATGTTAAAAAAACAAATAAATTTAGTGTTACAGCCTTATCTGAAATACTGACCTACAAAAAACATGCAATGTGTAATTTTTTGAGTTTTTACCATCTCCATCCATCAAAATTAAATTTGACATTGCGCTGACTATTTTTGTGTTTTGTAATATCCAACATCTAAGGTCTGTAATATTTCTGTGTTTGATCAACTAAGGAACTTCTTTGGATATGTGTTTTTACTTGTTACTGATTATTTACAGAGGTGGCAAATAATTTAGATTGTATTTTGTATTGCAAAACCTTGTGTGATGAAAAATAATGGAGTAGCTTTTGCTTTTTGAGATACTCTTTTTGGTGAAGTGTTTTCCCAGTTAAGTTGTGCTGCTTGGTTGGAGCTGATTCAAAAGTACTTACTCATATTCCCAGCAGGGCTGGCATTTACTGCTGAAATCTGTCCTTAGCAGAAAGGTAACTAAATCAGGGCTGAGGGCTGGAGTTCCACAGAAAATGTGAAGTAATTTGATACATTTTTTGTGTATGATAAAATAATGGAATGGCTGTGGGAAGGGACTTCTGAGTTCTGTGCTTTTCTGTGGCTGTCCGACAGTCTGATGTTCATCGTTCTTCCAGCCTGGGATTCTTCATCGTTCTTCCAACCTCCTCTAGACCTGTGAGCACATTCTCCTACCACTTGCTAGGATAACGTGCTCACAGGTCTAGAGGAGGTTGCACACTTCAGGTGAAAATAAAAATGAAGTCTTTACCCTGGTATAGAACTAAAATAGTTCAGTGCTTGGCAGACATGAAATCACAAATCTGTTTCCAAGTGTCAATGAATGACTTCTGAAGAAGAGTTTGTGTAGTTAAAGGCTGAAGGAGCCTGAGCTCAGTGGCAGCTGAGCAGCAGGTGTGACTGCACAGGAGCAGATCCCTGAATCTGGGTGTTAAACCAAG